GTTCCTCCTCTGCAGTGAAATAAACACTGGAGTCAGAAGAACTTTGAAGTTCCTCCTCTGCAGTGAAATAAACACTGGAGTCAGAAGAACTTTGACGTTCCTCCTCTGCAGTGAAATACTCATCTGAGTCAGCAGAACTTTGACGTTCCTCCTCTGCGGTGAAATAAGCACAAGAGTCAGCAGAACTTTGAAGACTCCCTGCTGAGTCCTCAGCTGTGAGTTCTGACCTGAAAAACTCGTGTTTCACGGCATCTTCTGGAAGAATCCGATCGGCGGGGTTGACAGTTAACATTTTCTTAAGGAGGTCTTTGAAGTCTTTCGTGCCTTCTGCATCGTTGACTGCTGGATCAATGCAACCAATGTCTCCACGGTTGAAGACAACTTTTGTTCTCCCAAAGCTTCCCGAAGACGATTCGTATTCTTCTACGGTTTTCAGCGTCCATAACCAGTTCTGATTCTCCTGCATCTGTTTAAAAAAACGCTGGACTCGTTTACCTTTAGAAAGGAAGTCACCGTGGATCTGCTCCGACAGATCCACGACTGACTTTAAATAACTGTACTCACATTCCGTGTTGAAATAATGTCGCCCAAAGTGTAAAAAGGCTAGAGTACAGCCGAGTCCCCAGATATCAAGACCACAGCCCAGAGGTACGTCTAGAAAAACCTCTGGCGCTGTGTAACCACAGGTCTCTGGAAAAACACACGTAGACAGATCTGAGATTTTACATGCAGAGCTAAAATCGATTAAACGCACACAAAAAGGCTGATTGTTGCCATTTACAATCATTACATTTCCCGGCGTGATGTTCCCGTGCACGACTCCTGCATTTTTCAGCAAAATCAAAGCCTTCAGAGTCTGTTCTGCTATTTCACGGATTTGAGACAGATTCAGAGGTTTCCACTTTCTCAAGCTCATCGCCTCCAACAAAGTCACATCCAATTTCTCAAAAGCAAAACAGAACAATTCTCCCCTTTTAAAATTCTCAATAGATTTAACAAAAAATCTATTGTCTGGGTCTACACATCGGAGAGAATTTAAAATCTGAGCTTCTCTCTCGGCTTCTTGCAGGAATTTGGGCTCGAGACATTTTAAAACGCATTCTTCTGAACCGTTTCTGAGACATTGGACAATCTGGCCGCGTTTCACGGTCCGAAGAATTTTTCCAAGATGGTAAATGGCATCTGCATTTCCAAAAGTTGGTTTACTCCAAGACAAACCCATTTTCAAATCTTTTTGCAAAAATATGTCGTAAAGACTGTTTGCAAAAAAGTTTTAAAGTGTGTTTGAAAATAAGGAATAATCCAATCCCATCCTGTAAATATCTGCTCACCTTAGCTACCTTCTGCTAAATAAACCACACGCCGCCTTATATAAACTCTGACGTGAGTCATCGTTGCCTGTCATTTGACGCGTTGTTGTGACGTCACAGGTCCCGCGTGTTTGTCTGATTTGACGTCTTTCAAACGGACGTCATCCTGTCATCTTGTGATCAAACAAAAATTATGCTTTGTTACGTCACAGAAGTTCCCGGATGTTTTGGCATCGTTCCAAACCCATCGTTGAGCTGGTTCCGGAAGCACGCTCCGTAGCGTCAGCTCATTTACGCATGCGCAAATAGACCGTCAGCTCATTTGCGCATGTGCTAAAAGAGCTACTTCCAGGAGGGTTTCAGACGTTGCAAAAATGGGCAGATTTTCAGTCTTTCTAGTTTCGTAACCTGCAATTTTTCCTGGAAAAGAAAACTTTTGCAGGATATGTGGATAGCAAAATATGTCAGGGCTGGCCCCAGCGGTACGTCACAGCGTCCGCCATACTGGATGTGGCAGACCTGCCGGTCAACTAATACAAAAAAATGCATTGAACTTTATAAAACACTGTTCTACAAATTGTTTTAAGTTAATCCCTGTTATTCACACACTGATACATTTGAAAAACAAACAAGCACCAAAGGCAACATTTGTAACTTTTACCGTGATTATTAAAAATGTTAACTCATTAAATATGTAGATTAAAAGCACTAAACTTTAGTGCTTCTCAATTATTTTCTGTTATCCCCCCCAAACTCTCCGCCATGACTGTAAATAGTGTCTATAAAACTGATAAAAGTACACCGCTGCCTAACATTGTGTCCTTATTAACATTAAAAAAGGAAGAAAAAAAAAGAATATAGATCAATTTACAAGGAAGAATAACTTTATTAACATTGTTTTGTTTAGTCTGTAACAGAAACAACTTAAAATGCATCAATTTGCCTGAAAAAAAAAATCATTTTATAAACTGTAAACATTTTGGACCATTTGATACTAAAAAATAAAATTAGATATAATCAATAAATAATAATAAATTCAAATTGATCAGCAACATTTTAACTCAGGAGTGTTATGGAAAAGACTTTGACCTACAAAACAAAAATGAATAAAACAATTTATGCTGTGTTTTTAATCAAAACGAGGAAGTCGGGATCAATGAGCACACTCATCGATAAAACAAACAAAAAAAGAAGAGGGACAGGTAACCCTCTCGCTTTGATTCAAAATATCCTGATGCATGCTCAATAATCACCACGCGTGCCCCACCTCCAGGCCTGGCTCCAGAGTGGGGCCCCGGTGACCCACGTCCGGGCGAGGGAACATCAAGTCCATTTCTTTTACTCATCATAGGGGTCTTTGGGCTGCACTTTGTCTGGTCCCTCACCTAGGACCTGTCTGCCTTGGTTGACCCTACAAAGCCCCTGACAGCATAGCTCCTAGGATCATTGGGACACTCAAACCCCTCCACCACGGTAAGGTGGCAGCCCAGGGAGGGGCAAACAACCAGCACCTGTATATAAATAAACTGAACTGAATTGAATTAGCTGTGGTGGCCATCTTGACCTCCAGAAGGCGATCAGTTGTGAGCACATCCAACAAAGTTTAATTCAATTCTATTCACTGGTTCATTTAGATATTTTGCTGACAAGACTTAATGAATATAGGCATGCACAGACACGTGCAAAAGCCTTACAGCCAATTTGCTAACTAATATGAACATCAAATTGCAAACAAATAACTTAAATATTAACACAATTTAACAAATATTGGCAATATTTACCTCACTAAATACAAGATAATGAAATAAAAATGAAAACAAAAATAGAATAACTATTTTAAATCTACTAATTTTATTGCAGGAAGTTCCCCTGAACAGACATGAACATGATGTCGCGCAATGTTTTTGTACGGTTTCTTGGTTTGAAACACATTAGCTGCCTCTGTTGTTTTTCTCTGGTAATCTTGCATTTACCAGATCCCCCCCAAAAACAACGTTTCAAATCGTAACTTAAACAAACGACTGCCCACACGCACCACCATGAAGACGTTTCAGCCTCACAGTAAGAAAAACAAAGATATAAATGCCTTCCCCACTGCCATGTCTTCATGTGACAGACTGCTACTTATGATATCATCAGGTCTCTTGAGGTTGCTTTTATTTCATTCTTAGCTTTTCTTCATTTACAATTTCATTATTTATTTATTTTTTTGCTGTTAGGCACAAAATTTTGAATAAAATTTAAATATTAAAATACACTTTTAGCAAAAGTTTCCCAGCTCATTTATGAGTCTGCACTGACACCTGCTGGCTGTGAACCTGCAACCTTCTAACTTTTATGCGTGCATTGAATGGAAAACACTAGATTGGTGGTGATCACAAAGTGGCGGCCCACGGGCCAAATCTAGTTCCAGAATAAAATATTTAAGATATTTTGTATGCCTTTTATTTAAGCAACCCCCAAAATGGAAAAACTTAGGCCAATTTTACCCACTGTTTAATTTACTAGTTTACACACTGTTAAAAATTAATGTTTATACACCTAAAGCTGAAATACGTCTGATTATAGAGAAAAATTACAATGTTTCTTTGACAAAAACTTCTTCAGCTCAGACTATGCATTATTATTATTATTATGTATTTCTTAAGAGTCTGGTCAGGGAAATTCTGGCCCTTGAGCAAGTTTTGTTGGCAAGCCCAGCTGTAGAAATAGAGTGCAAACAAGTTTAAAAGCTGCAGGGCAGGGGTTAGGGTTGTCATGGTTACAGTGCATCATCCACAGGTTGTCCTCTCAGCTGTGGAGTCCTACCTCATACAATAAGCTTCAAATGAGGTCACAAAGGACCACTTGAAGCAACCGTTAGCCCTCCTCATCACTTCGAATAGTTTCCTCATAACGGCAATAGTTTCATCCTGCACAAAACAAATGAAAACTTTACGGTAACAATAATCAGCGAGACTGCTCAGAAAGCATTAAAACAAATATTGGAGTAACTATTTGGAATGACCGAAGAAGACAAAAAAAAAAAACACGTAAAAGTTTACAATTTAAAAGCTTTATTTGGAAGAATTTAAAAACATCTACACAAAATGCTAAAAAAAACTAGGGAAAAAAAAGTCCTCAGGTTTCATCTCACGTGAGTTGACAAGGCAAACCAGCCCTCTCGTTCGCTCTGCTTCTTCATCTAACGTTGGGAAAAAAAAAAAAAGTGTTAACAGTTTGATAAAAGTCAACAACATCTGTGTAGGCAGCAGTTTATGTTTGTGTGCACCTGGATTTTTCCAGGTCCTGTTTCGAAACAGTGGGGAGACGATTCAGGACCAGCAGATCTGTGACACACATAAAATATTAGTTTACATTGTTAAACTAAAACCTACTGTCATCCTGTCAAATGGAAAATAAACCACTCAAATGCAAGTCCTAGAGTCGACACAACTTACTGCATTTCGTGTGAATATAAATAAAGAAAAAGTTTTTCCTTCTCATTTAGCTGAGCAACCCACCGTCGATGTGAGGGAACATCCTGCTCCGGCTGCATCACCGACTCCTCTAAGCCTAAAAATCAAACAATGCAGTGAATTTCCTATAAATCACCCGTGATCTTACAGCAGCATCCGTCTTTACCCAGCATACCTGCTGTGTTTGGGCTGAAGGCTGAGGGAGGCACGGGGGACACAGAGGGAGACACTCTGGCTGCAACGTTTTGCTTCTGTAACTCGATAAGCTCCAGGAGTCGACTCCTGGCTGCTGCACTCTGCCTGTTGAGCTCCAGGAGGCGCTGCTCCACGCTGTTCACACTGAGGGTGCTGGACGACAGGGTCTGAGCCGGAATAAAAGACACACATTTTTCCATTAATAGTTTAAATTGAACATATTTTGCATCGTAATACTCTGATTATCTTGTGACAAGATTAATCTCTAAAATTCTTGGAAAAAACTTTTTTATTCAACTAATATTGAAGATTCCTTTAAGCCATAATGAATATTTGTTTTCATGTGTTCTGCTCATTTTCGTTAGTGTTCAGCTTCTTTTAGCCAGTGTTCTCCTATAGCCAGTGTTCAGCTTCTTATAGCCAGTGTTCTGCTTCTTTAAGCTTTTTTCATTTCATTTCAATTTCATCTCTGTTTCTTGAACAAAACTTGGCAGTCATTTAGCATTGAAAATAATGGCATTTTCTCAATAAATACAATTTACTTTCTTTTTTTAATTCTGGGTTTCTGAAGCAGTCAGACCATCTAACATGCTTCTCACCTGTTGACTCAAAGTTTTCTCGTCAGGAGACTGAATGTTTTGGCTTCTGCTCGTGCTGCTGGACCCGGACGTCCTCCTCTCTCCGACACTTTGAGGAGTGATTCTCCCTGTGCTGACAGGACTCTCCTTTTTCTGCTCACTGACGCTGTTAGGCAATCCTGCGACCTCTGACCTGCGGTCTTTGGTCTGGCTGAGCTGAGACCTGATCAGCTCGTTCTCTCTGCTCAGCTGCGCAATCTCAGCTAGCATGGCTTCTGGAGAGGGCTGTGTGCGGAGAGGATCAGAGGCGAGTGACAGTGAGGTGGAGGAGCGTCTGCTAAGCGGCACACTGTGGAGACTTGAGGACGAGCCATGAGCCTGAAGAACCTCACAGGAACACTGGGGATCTAAAGGGGGAAGGTGATGCTGCAGAGAAGCAGGAGGAGTCACTGTAAAACAGGGATAAACAAACATTTAGGCCTCTTCCATGAGACAGATCGGGAAATTATTAATTAAAGTGAAAGTTACCAAGAGGTTGTTGCCAGTTATTGCTCTGTCGAGGTGGGGAAAGCAGGACAGCAGGGGAAACACAAACGTGTGTTTTCTCAGGACCTGACTGACTAACTGCACAAAAACGCACCAAAATATTAACCAGTTATTTTATGCGTCTCATATCCACATACGTTTACAGGTGTGTCTCAAAAATTAGAACACTTTTGTCAATCATTTCAGAAAGTGAAACTAATTTATAGATTCAGTACACAGAGTGAAATATTTCACACCTTTATTTCTTGTAATTTTGATTATTATGATTTACAAATATTGAAAAATCAAAATTTAGTCTCTCAGAAAATTGTAATATGAAGAGGTTCAATATTTTTAGCTAATGGTGTCACACCCTAAACAGCTGATTGACCCCTAGACATGAGCTACAAATGTCTCATTCCTCAAGTAGGCACTCCTGAACCAGAGACAACGTAAGAAGCGTCTTACCTGCTGAGGAGACAAAGGACTGGACTGTTGCTCAGTGGTCTAACGCCCTTTTTTCAGATAAAAGTAAGTGTTCGTGTCATTTGGAAATCAAGGTCCCAGAGTTTGAAGGAAGAGTGGAGAGGCCCAGAATCCACGGTGCTTGAAGTCCAGAGTGAAGTTTTTACAGTCAGTGATGGTTTGGGTCCATGTCATCTGCTGGTGCTGATCCACTGTATTTTCTGAAGTCCACGGTCAACGTAGCATCTACCAGAACATTTTAGACACTTTGTGCTTCCTTCTGCTGACATGCTATATGGAGATGCTGATTTAATTTTCCAGCTGAACTTGGCTCTTGCCCACGCTGACAAAAGGTACCAAAAGCTGGCTGTGGAATATTCTAATTTTCTGAGACATTGAATTTTGTTTTTTTCAGTATCTGTAAGCCATAATCATCAAAATGCCAAGAAATAAAGTCTGGAAAATACTTCACTATGTGCGTAATATATCTATGTAACATATGAGTTTCACTTTCTGAAATGACTGACAAAAAAAAAAACTTTAAGATATTCTAATATTTTTTTTAGATGTATTTGTATGTAGAGAGATTTATACCATTGGACTTGGCATCTGTGACATCAGAGTCTTTGGTTGGGCTCATATGGCCCTCCAGCTGTCCGAGTCCTCCCATCACCAGCACCACTGTGTCCAACTTCTGCTCCAACTCTGCCGTTTGTGCCTGCAACCCTTTCTGAGCAGCACAACAACCGACCATGAATGAAAAAGATTTCTGGAGCTTTGACAACAAACCAAACTGAGCCTCACCTGCAGGGCTGCAGCCTCCTCCCTCAGAGTCATGGTTTCAGCTGTGAGAGCATCAATAAGCCCCCGCTGCTCCTGTAACTGCTTCTGCAGTTTTCTTCTTTCTTCTGCCTCTTTCTGAGCTTCAGCTTCCCTCTGACACAAAGAGCAAGAGTTCATTTAAACAAATAAAGCACCTTGAACATCCAAACAATGCTGCATTGATAAATGAAAACTAATATGGTTTAATGTAGCACAATCTAACTACACTGAAGGCAACAAAAACGTGACACTGATCCAACAAAGTATTTATTAGTTGCTGCAGAGCATGAGGAGCATGACAAGCAGCTCCAAATAATACTATTATCACAGGTGCATAAATGAATCATGGAAAAAACAGCACTTTCTACAACTGAAGAGAAAGACAGAAACATTGAAAACAGCTTTGATGGCAACATGTTATTTTGATTTGTCAAAGTGACAAAATGTGTAACTTTATGTATCTGAATACAAGAAGTATGTAAAGCAAAATTTTTGCCGATAAAACCATTTGCTTTTAATTTACTTAAAAATAAACAGAACTTTCCAGCCTTGCTCAAATCCTGCTGGATATCCTAATTGTGTTTTACCTCCATAAGGTTGAATAAAAACAGTCTTTCCAGACCTTCTGCAGTACCTGTTTGAGGACGTGTACTAAACGTCCAAGCGTGGAGATCAAGGCGACAGAGAATCCCGTGAGGCCTTGTGTTCTGTGGTGTTTTGGACTCCCTGAGGATTCTGGTACTGTGCCAGGATTAAGAGTTTCCACGTCTGCCTCCACCTGTCCCAACATGGCTTGCAGCAGGCCCAGACTGGACTGGTCTCCAGAGGCAACAGAGGAGCCATCCAGTTCCAAGCTCTGAGAAAACCACTTCCTGTTGGTACGATTGCTGGTTCTTTCTGAGACACACAAAACACATTTTCTCATGTGGTGGTACTCTCATATTAAATAATTCAACTCAGGGTTCATTAAGGATTTTACCAGATTGACTAGAAGAAAGTTCAGGATTCAGGACCTGAGAAACAACGGCAGAAGTTTCTTCGTTGGCTTTCTCTAATTGATTCTGTTTAGACCGAACACGTCGAACAGCCACAGTGGCATTAAGAGCTTTAAAAAAACAACAACACAAAAAGGAAAAATCTGACATTTTGTACAGCAGATTGTAAAATACTAAAAGAGAAACCACACCATTGAAACATACCTGTTTGATCTGGTACTCTTCCTGAGGCACAGGGTGTCACAGGCACATCATCTTCCAGATATCGGAGAGGATGAACCTTTTGTTGCTGCATACCTCTAGCTTGAGACTGCAATTTCATTTTACGTACACTGGCCCTGCAGAGACAAACACAAATATTAATATACCAAAAACAATAGGATTATTTTGATTAAGAAGGATAGTTGCACATCAATGAATACCTTCTGATCACGCGAGTCTCTGAGTTATGTGAATGACACACATCATCTCTGCGCTCTTCATCTGAATCCTCAATTTCATTAAGGGCCTAAAATAAAACCAGTTTACACAACAAAACACTGCTTTTGCCAATCAAAATCTACACAAAATGCTAACAAGATTTATATACATAGATATAATGGTACACGCTGTTCTGTACAAGTATGTAAAGGTCTCAGTATTACCTCCTGGTCCATCATAGACTGGCTGAGGAGAGACAACTGGGTTGGAGGATCTGGTTTCTGGTGAACAGGTAATTCTGAGTCAGAGTCACAGTTTGGAGCCACAGTCAGACTGGGATTCCCTTCCAAAACACAAACATAACATGTCTCTACTACTAAAAGACTTAAATAATGAAAATCTTCCAAACTTCCCTTTCCAAATTCATGTTTCAGCCATGCCACAGCATCTAGTAAACCGAACAAGTTCTTTATTTACCAGTTTGCCTCCGTGGAGCATCTCCAAACAGATCTTTGACCACAGCCAAGGTTCTGTCAGAACGGGCCAGCACGTCCTGCAGCAGCAGCTGATGAGAGAAGACCTGCAGCAACATATTGCAATGCCAGAGAGCTGCACTTAACTCTGCACAGAAGACATTAAACAGTAAAGAACCACCTCACACACCTCCCTCATGATGTTGAGGCTGACCGGGTCCAGGGGCGCAGGACTCCCAGCATGTCTGAGGCGGCGTTTCAGGGCTCTCTCCTTGAGCTCCCACTGAGCTGCAACTTTGTTATGAGACTTGTGGATCTCATGTCGGTGACGCTGAAGAGAAGAGAACAAACCGATAATAAAACGTGAGCCTTTCCCGCTTTACTTAAACTTCTAACAAACTTTAATGTCCAGAACGAGACCAAACACCGTGACCAACTTCTAAGCTACAAAAATAACCAAACACCACTTGCAAATTCAAAAACATGGACAAAATCTCTTACCAGCTCATCAGGCGTTAGCTTATGCACAGACAGATCATTGACAGTGCTCTGGAACAAAAGGTTTAGAATTCAGCACAAGACGTTTTGACAAAATGCAAAGTGTGTAGGGTAAAGTCAGAACAATAAGATATAAGAGCAGCATTTAAACAACTCTACTCCTTCACTCACACATACAAAAACATGTCATATGTGGACCATTGAGTCAGTACTCTACTCACTACCCAGTCTTTTCTGGGAGCTACAGCCTTCTTTGGACGAACAGGCCTCTTTCCTTTAGTTTGTTGTTGTGAACGCCCCACTCTCGTAAACGACATCTGCTAACAAAACAAAACACGGACTTATTACCACAATACGGACAGCAAACTAAACTAGCAAGACCCCAACTGTCGTTTAAAATTCCCGCATTTAGGATAGACGGTTGAGTGAAGCCCGGAACTTACGCTTGGCAGTAGGTGGTCACGGTCAGTAGAACGAAAAAAATGTCGTTTTACACGGTTTACATGATGCTAACGAGTTAGCAACTATCAAAATCTCCGGTTTTTAAGTTTTTAACTGTCGCGCGCCACTTCCGGTGCTGCCGTTACCACGGATACCGCTTCTTCTTCATCCGGGGCAGTCTATACTTAAAGATGGTGTGTTGCTGCCCCCTTCCGTTTATAGCCGCAACTACAGGGATTCAGGAAGAGTTTTTATTATATATTTTTATTTAATTTGATTCTTTTTTTTTAATATTTTTTTTTACATTGTTTCTGAATTTAAAGTGACACTAAAGTAAAAAAATAAAAATAAAAAACTTTTCAACTGTCATTTCGGATGAAAGACGAAACGTTTCTACATTAAAAAAATAAAATATTTTTTTTAATGTCCAGAGGACCAGATTTAACTTTTTTTGATTTTTCTACCTGGATTATTGAGCATGCATCAGGATATACCCTGTAGTTGTAGAAAAATTAATTTTAATTTATAATCAAAAGCTTTTAAGATGTTACATAATTCAACTGTACAGACCCATCCTGTAAGCAGGTGAAAAGCAGGGACACCCTGGACTAGATGCCAATCCATCAAAGTCCGTTTAACCTTAAAATACAATAAATATCATCTTCTATCAGCTTGTTGTAATTGTAAAAACATTCCACTAGATGGAAGTGTTTGTTTTTATGAATGAGCTGAGGCTGTTGCTGTGGGCAAAGTTCATAAAGAGATATTTAACAGCCAAACAGCATATATCAAATAAAATTTATCCGATTAAAGATAACTATATCTTTTATTCTGACATTTTCAAGCCTAGTTTAATACAATCAGAAAAACAGATTTTAATTTCAGGAGGGTTTTTTTTTTTTGTGTGTGAAAATCTTCAAAGTTTTGAATTGTAATGATGTAAAATGGGTGAACTTACAAAACTGACTTTAACCTAATAGAATGTTTCAAAACTAATTTAAAGTTAAGGGATAAAGTTCAACTATGTTTGCGAGGAGAAATAACATCACAAAAGAAAATCACTTCATACATTAAGACTTTAATAACAGATTTTTCAATGTATATCAAAATGTGTACAAAACAACTCTTCACAAGACTGAAATTTTTACATAAATATCTCCATTTGTTTGAGTTATTTGAAAGTCCTGAACAGGAAGTTGGATCAGTCTGTAACTTGATCCTGTTCACTCTCACGGTCCATCTCTTTGCAGTGAGGTGTTCGCGTCCTCCTGCACGCCCCTTTATCACCCTTAAACCCTTAGACAGACCCTGAACGCCGCACTTTAATTTGGAAACAGTGTGAGACACGTTGGATCGACTGACTCCTGACTAAAACAATGCAGAGCGGGCCACAAAAGTTGGAAACGTTATCTTTACGCACGGGGCTGGAGCTGGCGGCAGCTGCGCGCCCGTGGATCAGGCTTCATGAAATGGTTTTCCTGCGAGTTATTTAAAGGAAGTCAAATTAGTTTTTCCTCTTATATTGGATTTAAGAGCTTTGGAATGCATGTTAACATTTTTATTTAAACTTTTTGTGAAGAACAATCCCTTTTGGCACGTTGGATCGGATTTACGCACAGGATTCCTCTGACAAATGACAGCGTCTGAGAGGTCTGCAACTGTCTCACTTCATCCCCTCGGGCTCTTTCCTCGCACCGACCTGAAACATCACCCCCCTCAACAGGTCCAAAGCGGGGAATAAGAATTTCCCCCGTATTTTCCAAAACGCCGGACTCTCCGGCCCGGAATGCGGAGAGGTGGTTTCCCGATGTCCGTCGCCGCGCTGGTGATTCTCCTCCTGGTCGATGAAGACGTGAAGGCCAGTGGGGAGTTCTGCCACGGCTGGCAGGACTCCCAGGGCGCCTGGAAGGAAGGCTTTCAGTGCCCTGAGAAGATCGACGCAGCGGACGCGATCATCTGCTGCGGGAAATGCGAGCTGCGCTACTGCTGCGCCAGCATGGACGCACGGCTGGATCAGGGCAGCTGCGAGAACTACCGGCAGGCTCCGGAGCCCGGGACAGAGAACAAGGAGAACAAGGACTCCCCAGCAGGTAGAAGTCCAGAACGCCCAGTCTGTGCCACTTGAATGGTGACACAATTTCAGGCATTTTGTGGAAACTAATGCCCATTTCATACCCGGTGACATCTTGCCAGATGACTATAGGCCTATTAGCTCTCCAAGTGTGTGTTGTGGATGATTCTCAGCTACTACCACACCAAGTCGTAACCTCAAAACGTCAAACCTGACTGCGTTGTAGGGATTTATTTAGTGTTGGCTAATGTCAATTTGCTGTAGTGGCCATCTTGAATTGGGTCGACTCCAAAAGTTAATCAGTAGATGTTCATCCAGAGGTTACATTTCATTCAAACTCATCCAGTGGTTCATAATCTATTTAGCTAAGAGAAAGACACACAGAGAAAAACATTATTTATCCACCAATGGTGAATAAAGAAGCTAAGTTTATAGTTTGAAGCCATAATTCTCAGAGAGAAGTGCTTCAAAATGTTCAGTTAGTTTGACTTGTCTAAATATTCTAACTTCACAGGTTATATTTGCATGTATTGAGTTTAAATATAAAATATATGGGAGCTTTCCCCCTCCTTGTTGAAACTAGAAGTGTGTCCCTGTCCAAAAGGTTCGTCCACAAAAACAGCTGCTCAGGGGACAGCAGGCTCCTCAGAAAAGCAGTTAACTTGCCCTCACAAATGGCAGATTGTGCCACACCGCTGCTGCTCTTTATAAATAGCAGTGTTTGTTCTGAAACAGTGCAAAAGGAGAGTCAGGCTCAAATCACGCTGTCCCCACGGGGATCCAATGTGGGACTTGACCGGATCTTAGAGTTGCACTCATCAAGGGCGCTGACAGCCCTGCTCATAAAAAGAAAACATTTTATGGATCATTTCACCCCCATACCCCTCTGTCTAGCATCTCTGGTGTCTGTGGGTTTTAAGAGATTCACACAAATTGCTACATAATTACCAAAACCTGTATTTTCCAGCTTATGTCGTGGATTAGGTGACAATCAAACCTCTTCCCCCGCTCTGGCCCCTCATTCATTACTGCCAACATTCCCATAAGTTAATCTTCCATTAAGTCTTTGAAGCTGCATCATATCTTTAAAAAGGTCAATGATGATAATGAAGCAAATATTGGACATGAAAGGCTCGTTTTATGTTTTCCTGCAGGGTATTACTGTAGCTACATTGTAATCTGTCATTTCTGCCCATCATACCTCATCACTGCAGGAAGAGGGATATATTCCACTCTGTGGCCTCCAGCCAGAATTTGCTTCAAGCTGCAGAGGACGTGTGTTTATGTGAAACCAAGTTATGCATTTTGCACATTTTCCGTAAGCTCGCAGCCCATCCATCATTTCAGAATGATAGAACAAGCAGGAAATTATTAATGTGCTCGACATGCGGGAACATGTGGTATTTAGGAACAAGAGAATCCCCGTGGGACAGCCCAAGGAGACAGAGGGAGTCCAGCCACAAAGACTCTGCCCAAAACAAGAGCTTAAGAGAGGAGGAGGAGGAGGAGGCTGCTGTTACTGCGGCTGCTACGGCTCAGCTACAGCAACAGGTGTGGACGAGTGACGGGAAACAATAGGAGGGCCTCCACCGCCATGTGCATCAAAAGTTCAAACAAGAGGACTGGAAGTCCTCTTAGGAGTATGGAAGGCAGTTATGTGCTTAATCTGATCAGATGAAGAGCTGCGTTTAACAACTTGAGTTTAAATTCAGAATCTTTTGCTTCAGCGCCAAAACTTTCTGTAAAAGTTGAGACAGTGTGTAAAGGCAAGGTAAAATTCATTTATATTGCACATTTTATATCAGAGGACGACTTGATGTATTTTACAAAATATGGACAAACATAAGGCAAGGACACACTAAATAAATAAAATGTAAATAAAAACTGATTTTGATCACAACGGAAAAAAGCAAAATATAAGTGGTGAAACAAAAAAAAAGTTGTTTTCTAGGAAAAAAGGGTAATTTTGAATTTGTTGGCAGCAACACACAGACATTTACAGACTGTTAGAAGAGATGCAACATTTTTTTGACATGCAGCGCTGCCATAAAACTGCAAGAATTTTTGACATTTTACTGCACTCCATAGTGAATAAATTAAGGGTTCATCATATTTGCAAACCATTGCATTACAGCACATTTTCCAAACTAAGTTTATAAAATTGTTCCACATTTTACAAGTTAAAGAACAAAGTACTTTGTTGTAAACACTTAAGGTGGCTCTTTCTGGATGCGTTCTTGTTAGCCCTGCTTATTCTTTTTCCACCCGTTAATCGTCTCTTGACCTTTTTACATTTCTGCTTTGAGCCTTTAGCTGCACACGAAGCAGCTATTAAAACTGCAGAATTTATGGATGCATTTGCTGTAACTTAAGAGCTTAATATAAAATTATATTGTTACTTTAATACAGCGCTGTTACAGCCGTCCTAAAATATTTCCTTTCACGACTGTGCATGTAAAACTTTCAGTTCAATCATCTTGGATTTGGAAAGGAAGTAGTGAAAGCAGGGATGAAGGAAAGTTGTTGCATTGCTAAATAAGTGAGTAGAAGCAGACATGTTGAGCACGAGGCCAAAGAAGTGCAGGACAGGAAGGCGGTGAAGAATTTCAGGGACGCTTCTGCTCTTGTAGGCGTCTTTTAAAACCAGTTTACTGCGAGGTGAGTAGCTGCAAGGTGTTCTTAAGTTGACGCCCCCACTGGTCCAACGGAAATGGATCAAGGTCCTGGTTTGCTTCATGTCCTGGCGCCTCGGCCTCCAGCACTTAACGAGATTCAAGCGGTAATCCTTTAATACCTCGTGACTTCTGATGAGCATTTCGGAAAAAGTCATACGGGTGCGTTTCAAAAGGGCCCGTTGACAAAAAGAAACCGGAGCCGGCTGCCACCTTTCACTCCTCTGGCATACGGTTACACCTCACAGCAACATGGGAACAGTCAGAGTGGAATATTAACTTCGCCCTGTGGGAACAATAACACTAAACGGATCGCTTGTAACACAACGTGGACGTTATTGTGTTCGGAAGGCGCGAGGACGGAAATGAGCGAACACCTCACGAGTGACCTCATCTTAAAATGTCTTTTGAGCCGTTTGGCTAAACGTTAATAAAACTTGGAAAAGAGAATAATTTATCTGCTTTCAGAGATGCTTCTGGAGCGGCCTCCTGCTCTTAACGCATTAACGCTCTAAAACCGAGGCAGTCGCATGTAAAAACGTCAGGACTTTACGTGTTCAGTAACAACTCTGCTATGCGACTGGGCAAACAGAGCTGCGAGTTTGAATTTTAAACAAAAAGGATTTACAAGGCTGAATAACCTCGCAGTGCTCCAATAAATCAGCCTACGCTCCTTTAAACCGATGCCAAGTGCTACAGTTCAACTGCAGTAACTTGTTTTCAATAGGATTAGTCATAAAGAGCCGGGGAAAAAGAAAAGTTACAAATGTCCGTTTATGTCACCCCGTCCAAAATACATAGAGGTCTGCAGGGTCCAGGAGGCTGAGGGCCACAGCAGGGCGTGGATTAAAACAGATCAAAACAAAGTTAATAGCTGCTAATGAGGGCCTGGGACCCCCTGGAGACACAACACCCCTAACGTATTATTCTTCCACTCATTTCATTTTTACTTTTCAGCAATTCTATCAAAATGTTCAGCTCGTTCAGGAGATTGTTGCTGTGACTTTAGGGTGTTTGTCCCTTTTTAAACATTTCAAACGTTTTGACATTTACAAATGTTTGCCCCGCAGATATACTTTGAGATCTGTTCAGTTCCTTCCCAGCTCTGGCTTTTTTTTTCTGCTTCACCTCGTTCCTGTTTTTGTTGCTACCTTCAGCTCAGTTTCAGCTTCTTCTGTACAAATTTCAGCAGTTCCTCATAAATCTTCAAAGTTCATGATCAATAATCCAGGTAAAAAAAAAAAAAATCCAACAAAGTTCAGTCAGATCATCTGGACGGTTTCTTTTTTGTTGTTGTTGAGACGTTTCGTTCTTCATCCAAAGGACTTCATCAGTCCAAGGAGCCACAACATAACTAGTCCCACAAGGAGCACGTTCCCATGGTGGACCAACCAGTTTGCTGGTGATAAGATGGTTTCTGGGGCCCGCCCTCTCCCCTGTTGACTCCTCTGAGACAACCACAGCCAAAGTGGTTCAAAACATCAAAGTTCATGCTCAATAATCCAGGTAGAAAATCCAGTAAAGTTCAGCCAACCACTTTGGCAATGGCTGCCTCAGAGGAGTCGACAGGGGAGAGGGCGGGCCCCAGAAACCATCACCAGCAAACTGATTGGTCCACTTTGTGCGTGTGCTGCTTGTGGGATCGTTTGTTGTAGCTCCTTGGACTGATGAAGTCCTTTGGATGAAGGATGAAACGTCTCAACAAAAAAAGAAACTGCACAGATGACTTGACTGAACTTTGTTGGGTTCTTCATAAATCATTAATCTTGCGTCTGTACAGAAAAAGCTCCAGTTTTAAGTGTTTGTTTTTCCTCCTGCTGTAACAGTTCCTGTGCAGCGAGTTGAAACAACATTTTAAAAACCAACTCTGCTCAACGTTTAATATCCTCGTCTTCTTTTCTAGTGCCCATCTACGTGCCGTTCCTGATCGTGGGGTCTGTTTTCGTGGCCTTCGTGGTGGTGGGCTCCCTGGTTGCGGTGTGTTGCTGCCGCTGCCTCAGACCGAAGCAGGAACTGTCGTCATCAGGGGCCACGGGGGGCGGGGCCAACAGTGGGCGCCTCCTCGAAACCATCCCCATGATGGCCAACACCTCCAGGGGCTCCTCATCCCGACAGTCCAGCACAGCCACCTCATCCAGCTCGTCTGCTCCGCCCACCGCTCCCCGCACAGCCCCGGCCGCCGCCCCCCTCATGCGGGCCCAGGCTTCCTGCTGTCTCCCCCCGGACGCCAGCGTCTACGTCAACATGCCCACCAACTTCTCCGTTCTCAACTGCCAGCAGGCCACTCAAATCATGCCCCACCAGGGGCAGTTCATGCACCCGCAGTACATCGGCTATGCCCACCCTGTTTCCCCAGCATTTTTAGACCCCACCCAGGGAGGGTACAGACCCCTTCAGTCCCCCTGTCCTCCCACGGCTGGGTCCAGTGACCAGAAATACCCTCCGGTAACAGTTTGACGAGGGACCACACTGCGCTTTGTTGTAAAAACTGAGGTTTGACCCTTTTGATGGATGCTGCAGAAAACTTTCTGCCAGAGTGGATTAAAAATGTAAACATATTGCTGGCAGAGAAGCCTTACCTGATATGGTGTGTGTGTGTGCACCTGTTGAGTTTCATCTGATCTTTGAGCTAACCTCGGCCTGTGATGAGACAATTCATCATAAAAAAGTCTAAACAGAAAGTTGGGAGGTGTGCAGTTTAAATAAGGTCTGAACGTGCTTGAGCATGTGAAATTTGGATTTTACTCTGATTTAAATTTTAAAAATAAGCTAGGATCATGTGTAAAATGAAAAGAAACAAAGTTAAAAAGATAGATTTTTAAATCCCAAGCCCATTTATTCACAATAGAATGTAGTAAACATTTTGAAAATGTTTTTTTTTCCCCCCCCAAAAAATGGGGGTATTTATGAAATTTATGGCAGCAAAATATCTAAAAAAAAAAAAAGAAGAAAAAAGTCAACACAGGGCAACAAAATTGTTATCAGTGTACGTACAGTCAAAAAGCCAGCCTCTCTGATGATATGGGGGTGCATTAGTGTCTCTGGCATGGGAAGCCAGCATATCTGGAGAGGACCATTAATGCAGAAAAGAGTATACAAGTTTGAGAATATTTGTGCTCATACTGCCAAAAAAAAAAAAAAACTGGCAAAGATGAGTGTTGACAGCTTTAATCCTCCATCAGGGTCAACATTACCTCCAAAAACTGCAGCAACTTTTCTTTTTCCCCCAAACGTGTCACTGCCACAAACACGATTTTTCACAAAAAACATCTTCAACATTTGATGTTTACTATGTTCCATTGGGGGGGGGAAATATGGGCTTACGAGGTTTGCAAACTGCGTTCTCTCTTTATTTACATTTTACACAACTTTTTAATTTTGGAATTGGTAATGTGGAACGAGCGACAACCGAATGATTTTTAGACCGTTTGAGAAACGTTCAGGAATAAGACCACACGCCGCGTTTGTGTGCACATCTGTGAACGACTGCGAGCAGTTTCTACAACGTGGTACACTTTTTGTTTGTGTTGAACGCGTGAAGAAAGAAAGCATGTGGATGGATGTCATTACTGTACGTGTGTGTGTGTGTGTGTGAGAGTGAGTGAGTGTGAATGTCTGAGTAACTGGGTGTAATGGGGAACGCAGGTGGTGTGATGTGAAAGGCTGCTGCGATCTCCCAGTCGGCCATTTAAACTCCAATGAAGTGAAGACAGGACGCGGACTGTGACGCTCCGCCTAACTGTACAATTCCCCTCCTGCCACCCAGAAAGGAAAAGAAAAAAAGACAAATAGCAAAAACTCAACTGCCCTTAACGAAAACCCACTCAGACTGAAACTATGGACTATATTCACACTAGGCTGGAGATTAATGTTCCTCAGAAGTGTTACAATGAGACGCTTTGCCAGCTTATCCCATCACCTCTTTCCTGTGAGGTGTGTGTGTGTAATTGACACAGACAGATCAGTGCACAAATCCAAGTCCGAGACACCGTTTTCTACTTGAGAAAGGCACAAAAGTGACAGATTTTCAATACCGTATTTTCCGCCGTATAAGTCGCATCAGTCCAAATTTGTCTAATAAAGTGGAAAAATCCATAAATGCGTTGCTTCACCGTGTACGTCGCATCTATTATGCGTCACCACTGACCATCCGGAAATGTGGGATGGTGTTGTGCCAAAAATCGACTGGCTGCCAAATGGCGGCTGCGGGAGTGTGCACGGGCGGACTTTAGCAAGAATTTAACAAGATCAACAATTAAAAACAATTATTTGTTTGCTCGAAATTATAGTAAAGGTGCGTCTCAGTTGAACTTTTACTTAATAAAATGACTAACAGTCAAATCAGCTGCATTTCAAAAGTATTCGCTGCCTCGGTGCTTCGGAAGCGCGCAGACGGAGGAAATCAGGAAGGAGGAACGCTGCACATTTATTGGAAATTTAACAAGATAACACCTAAAAACAACTGTTTGCTCGAAATTATAGTAAAGGTGTGTCTCAGTTGAACTTTTACTTAATAAATGCACTTCAATGGTCAAATTAGCTGCATTTTGCCGGGGCGGTGCAGCAAAATGAAGCCGATTTGACGGTTGCTCCAGGCGAGCTGGACGAGTGGCGGTCCATGGTAAGCTGATTGTCATTAATAGCCACTTTTACCTACTAAATGACACAACGGCATGCCATACTCCTTGAGTGCCATGTAGCGGCTGAAAATTGTAGTGTTCAGTATTTTCAGACAATGAATGAAAACGGTCGTATCAGTCAAAAATTGGTTTATAAATATGGAAAAAACCAGTCGTTTTGTGTACAAGTCGCAGGGCATGCAAATTATGTAAAAAAATAAAATAAAATACCTGCGACTTATAGGGCGAAAAATACGGTACTAACCTGAATGAATGAATGAAGCTGGCATATTTTTCTGCTGCTGTGGGATAACTGGGGATCACGCAGCTCTACTGAGACACCCTGAAATAAGTGGCATGTTTGACTCCCCTCATCTGTGTCCGACCTCATCGTCTGGAAGATAGCGCGAGAGAGATCCGTCAAATGGATTCATTTCTTATAGGTTCAAAGTGTTTGCTGCCTGTGAAATAATATAAAAATGATTTTCATATGAATTTGAAATAAACACTTTTCAAAACAGAAAGCGGTTTTGTTTCAGCTTCGACTTTTGAGTTTTAAAAACAAGCGGCCACGAAATTTAAACACTTAAAAGACAAAAGTGAGGTGAACAGGTGGTTTAATCCCCTTGAAAAGACACACACAGAGACAAGTCGAGCTTTTAGAGACATTACAGTCACAGACAGGTCAACCGCCCGAGACGACGAGAACGAGTAGCACAGAAGAGAAACAACCAAATGGGCAGTTTAAAACTTTGACAATGTGCAGAGGCGGCTTTGATTGGCTCCCACACAAGCTGAGAATGGATTCTACTGCTGCAGCTGAAGCCGGCCACATCCAGGAAGGTGGGTGGGAAAGAAATCTCCAATCGAGGGGTGAATAATCCCTTAACAATCCGTCTACATCGACACCCCTGAGCTTTAAAAAGGAGCCTGGGAGGGCTTGGATTGTGCTCAATCTTTTTCTAGCTTCAGGATGAAACGTAAAACCTGCAGATTCTCTGGAGCTACGCTTAAACTCAAAAACCTGCCGGACTGCACGAGCGCTCAGCTAACAATCAAAACACAAAGACGTCTTGGTCAAGCCATGGATTGATTAGATTTAATGATTAGGACTTGGAATTCATGAACCGGTGTCCTCGACACAGAGCACACAGACAATGGACTCTACGTTCAGACGAGAGCAGAGAAACACATGATCCATGCGAGCGTTTCAGTCGAATCCCATCTGTTTACGATAATATTCCCTCTTAAACATAAAAAAAAAAAAAATCTTGAAAGAAAAAAATATTAATGCATAAAGAAGAATGTCCACTTTACTAATAAAAAAAAGAGAGAAAATGTCCAGTTAAGAGTGGAATTTCAACAGAACTGGGAGTGGTAGCATTAAAAAGCAGGCATGCTGCTTCCAGATCAGCTGACGACGTTAAGATGAGGAGTCATGGGAAAATTAAAAAAACAACACGGTTCAGAACGAGGAGGAGAGACATGGAGGCTGCAGAGCTGCTATGAGATGTAAAGATAGGAAGGAAGAAAAGTGAGATAAACGGGCGGAGAGGCCGCAGCAGGGTGGTGGTCCAGTTGGGTGTAAGCGTTCCACCTCATTGGCATCTCCGTGGCGTTTGGCAGTGAAGCTTGGTGCTGCGATGGAGCGAAATGAGGGAGGAGTGGGGGGTCCTCCGTCTGCTCTCCCCCTCTTCTGGATGATTATTTTGACATCTTCTGCATCGGTGTGATGACAGGAGCACACATGGACAGACATGCACAGACATCACGGGTTTGTGTGGACATACATGCACAGGCAGACACACACACGCGCACACACACGTGGACACACAGCAGCGTGAAGCAAACCGAGTAGCAGTTTCTGAGTTTGGCTTGTCAGTGCGTAGATACGATTTGCTCATGCCTGCGCAGCTTTTTGTGAGGTTTACTGTTCGCCCAGGTCCATTCTCAGTCCAGTTCTCCTTTCACCACACTCACAGCCTCCAGCCCCTGCAACCGTGACCCCACACACACTCCTCAGCAAGGGGACACGTCGTTGTTCCAGTAAGGCCACAGCGGAGGTCGGTCACCCGGCGTTAGGGTGTTGCTTAAGTTAGTCTCCGCTATCGCCTGGACCAAGATTGCTACATTTAGCCAAAGCTTCGATCGGGGTGGGGGCTAGAGGCTGGGGCGCTGGCGGGTGGTGTCGTAGGAGCGGACGACCTGAGACTGGGACACCACGCCGTGCTCCTCCTGAGAGAAGGCGTAGCCATCTGCAGAAAGACAGAAGGGGACAAACGGCAGATGATGAACTGGTGAGATCAAAGTGACGAGATCAATGTCCACATTTTACTCTGATGAAGAAAACTTTAGTTTTATTAGGACCGGCTGATTTGTACACTAAATACTTAGACAGTGGTGTGTATTTTTGTGCACGACTTTTGGACAAACATGAGTGAACGTACCGTTTTTAAATGCTTATTTTGTGCTCACAACAGCTTCATAACTCCCTGATGGTCAAAAGTATCAGTAGATCTCAAACAGTTCAGCTACTCGTACTTGTTTTCTTTATGACAACTGTGTTTATTTTAATCTTTTGTAAATATTATGGCAAAAATATCATAATAATTTATTAAAAAAACATGTATTTGATCTCATGACTCTTCACTTGATGCTTCATAAATCACCAAGGAGTCCAGACTAACATTGAGAGCCATGGATTTGCATAAATTCATGATTATCAACAAATCAGTGTTTACGTCTGACTGAACTGACAAGCAAATGGCTAGTCAGAGCTAGGTCAATAAAGTGGATTGCTGCCTTCTTAAACCAACTCTAATCTCAACCATTTCATAGTGACTCATGCCAAGACTCGTCCATAAACTTTTACACCACGGTCAGTTTTATATTCTTGAAACTGTCATTCAAGGAGCCATCTACAACAGGTAAGATGCTTATTGTTCATAACTATTCTACAGAACCCTACTTCAAAAGACTGAAATAATCCCCTTAAGTCACAGGTGTCCAAAGTACGGCCCGGGGGCCATTTGCGGTCCTTGGGAGTGATTCTGTGCGGCCCACAGGCTTAAGAGGTCGATGCAGATTTTCTGTAAATTAGTTGGTAATCCCTTTTTTATATAATGTTTAGGTTTAACAGCAAAACAGATGGAAAACAATCTTCTCAAAATGTGCAATATAAAACAAAATACAAACCTTTAACTATAATCTTTTTATTTTCACTTCATGGTACAAAGCACTAAAAACCTTAACTGATTTCTACCAGAAAGGAGACTTTTGGATCATGATTCATAAAACTTGACTAAATATTGCAGTTGATAAAATAATCAAGAGGGAAATTAGACATTTTTAAATGAATATAACGTGGTAACGTCTACATACGAGTTGATCAACTGAATCTGTTGTAGCGACTGACAGTGCTGGACGATTTTTCAGAACTTCAGTCTTTTGGACTGTCCATGGTCCAAAACTTTTCAACTTTTGTCCTTTCTCCAAAATATTGTTCACATTGAGAATTAAATTCACATTTTTGTGGCCCACGGGTCCTTTCAACTGAATAGTTTTGGCCCACATATGAAAATGTTTAGCCACCAGGTGAGTCGAGGCTTGGGTAATGACCCGGCGTGTCTCGAGTGAGGACACTTACGTGTCACGGTCTGCTGGACAGAGTTTGAGCGTCCCACACTCGACGGTGTTTTCCTAAAGACTCTTGTCAGCAGATGGGCCCGTTCGTTTAGACTGAAAAAAACAAAAAAACAATCACAACATCAGAGCACAACAAGACCAGAAGATTTCTATTTAAGCTACAACCACAGCACCAATACAACTATTGCCTATTTTTACATGGATCTAAGTTAAAGTACAGTTTTATGGGACGTGTCCGCTTTTAATGCTTTTCCTTGCGCAACATGGCTGAATACTTTTGAAAATATTCTGTCCTTCAGGACTCAAAAAGCAAACATACAAGCCAACAAAAATTAAGAGTCTAGTTTTTGATACATAATGTTTCTGACATTCATTTCAGCCCCACTGTACGTCACAAACTGCCTGCAGGGTAACAGGCCATCCACAGTCAGCTTTTCCTCGCCCCCACCGCACCCCTTGGCCACTGCTCTCTCCTCGCCTCATAACCCCCCCCCCACATCCCCGCAGGACGAAGAGTGGATCCTCTGTTCTGAGACCACACGCCGTCACGGCTTCTCTCCTTCCTTGACCAAAAATAACCAAGTCCCTGCCACATTTTACACGCAAACGCACAAGCAATCATGAATTTTCCTCCTGTCCCATCACGGTCACGGCAGCCATAAAATAATATGCATGAGAGGGAAATGTTAAGGACGCTGACCACCACTTCAAAACGTTAAAATTTATTTAACAGAATGTTGTTGTTTTATACCATTATCTGTTGATGCATTCTGCAGTGTTGATTTATTCACTGGATGGCTCAAGCAGAAATTTGGAACAAGTAAAGACGTTTGCTTAAAACTTTTTGGCTCGGAGAAATGATGTCAGAAAGATGACTGAGACGACTAAACGAAGAAAATGAGGCTTGGTATAATTCAAAACGTCCTTTCTTCAACTGGGTTGTTTCTTCCAGAATACCTGCTGGTTCTGAAAGAGCCCAAGGATGTCTCTTTCCCGGAGAGGATCCTGCACTTCACCTTTCCAACCGTTCCCATGCCCAATCAAAGACCTCCCCAGGAACTGCAAACACAGATGTGCTCTTTTTCCACTTCACTCCAGCTTCACTGCCCACCCTTAATGTCCTCCTCTCTGATTTGAAATGAAGATGCTGCAAGGATCTAGCTCTTGAAGTTGTAAAAGCAGATTTTAATGAAGGATGAGGCCCATACCAGAAACAGACTCCTTCAGCTTTGTTTAAAAAAGGAGCTCAATTTAGATTCTTATGGTTGCAAATACTATTATCAAAATATTACACAGATCGTGGTTTAAAATAAAACCTATGAAAAACTGTAATTTTTGCTGCATAAGTCGCAGTTTTTTGCATAAATTAGCATGCCTGCGACATACAGCGAAGCAACGCATTTTGTTTTCCCCCCCATACTTAAAACCCAATTTTTGGTTGAGATCTGACAATTTCATTCATTCTGATATGGAAAATATTGAACACTACCATTTTCAGCCACTAGAGGACCCTCAACCAATATGGCAAGCCAAGTGTTTCATTAATAGGTAAAAGTAGTTATTAATGAGACACTTGGCTTGCCATACAAGCCACCTTCGTCTCGCTCTGGAACTCCTGGAGCAAACGTCAAATCAGCTGCATTTCACCACGACGCCCAGGCGAAATGCAGCTGATTTGACCATGCAAATGCATTTATTAAGGAAAAGTTCAACTGAGACACACCTTTACTATAACTTCGAGCAAACAAATGTTTTTAGGTGGTTATCTTATTAAATTTCGAAGAAATACAGTGCGAGTCGACCCTCTGTGCGCTCCCGCGATTCGGCTTTTGAAATGCAGCTAATTTGACCATCAAAGTGCATTTATTAAGGAAAAGTTCAACTGAGATACACCTCTGCTATAATTTCGAGGAAACAAATAATTGTTTTTAAGTGTTAATCTTGTTAAATTCTTGTTAAAGTCCTCCCGTGCACGTGCACGCTCCCGCGGCCACCATTTTGCAGCCAATCGATTTTTGGCACATCATCAGCCCACGTTAAGTAGCTACATTGGTCCTTTATTTAAAGGTACTCATTGCAAAATATAAAATTAAACACAAAAATGTTATTCTGAACTATATCAAACAGTGCAGTTTAAGAGTTTACTACAGTGATTTTCAAGATGTATTAATATGCAGTTTTGAAATGTGGGAGCACACTCGGTGTAAATAAATTACTCCGCTGAATCTGCCAAAAATCATGGGAGCTCAAGTCACGTAATTGACCCACGTTATTCTGACTGTAGTCTGTGCAGGTAAACAAATATGGTGGCAAGCGTAGAATCTTTAAGACGTTTAGGTGTAAAAAGTGAGAGAAAAAACTGCCTTTGCAAATCTTGACTAGAAAAAGTTTACAATTTAAATCCTACCTTTCTTTTTGTCTGCAAACTTTGCTCAACAAATTTGAGCAAAAATAGCCATTTTTTATTTTCTTTTCATCCCAAATGGCTCTTCCGTGGACGTTACAATTATTGACCTATTTTCAGTGTCTTTAAAACGCTGCAATGAGTACCTTTAAATGACTAGTAGTGCATTTATGAATACTTCGATAACCAGCGTGTTTCGCTCTAACACAACTCTACAAGCACCACAAACAAGAACAAGTCACAGTCTGAGGAGCTACAACAAAACAGTAAACACACCAGGTCTGTACAGCAGTTCAAATTGGTCCACCTACAAAAACAAAAGCCCAGAAGAATTTTAAAATGTAAAAGCAAGAGAAAAAAAAAATACGGAGGAGATAACATTTTAGATAGGACTGAGAGATAAACGAAGAGAAATGTGAACTCAGATGATGAAATCCATGCAAATGTCAAAAGTAGCTTGGAGTGAGGCACACAGTTCACACACTGCAACCAGAAACTACCTCTGTGGAGCAGTTCTGGGTCTTTGGGCCCTCAGCCTTGGCTTCAGCCCTGTGGACAGCGCCACAGGGCACACAAAGTTCATTTTCACATACATAGAAGAATATAATAATAGGTTACTAAAACTGCATGAAGATAAAACAATCCTGTGAAACTGAATACATATTTTAACCATGGAGTGAGGAGTCAGGATGCCCTGACTGATCAGCAGATGACCAGAATCAGATGATTTTCAGTTTGATCCGACAGTAAAAGATTTTTCTCTGTATAGTCTGTAAACGCACCACAGCTAAGGGGCTAAATCACATAACATGCACACAGCATAATCTAGTTTAGGAGAAAACCATTTGTTTTTGCCGGCAGTCATCTAGTTGCCTGTGTGTGCATGATTGTCTGTTAGCAAAATATATCTTGAACCAGTGAGTGGAACACATTGAGTATGACTGTAAATGTTTCCTAAAAGAAAATTCTAATCTGATTTTTATTTTTTTTAATTCTGAAAATCATCAGGAGCTTGACAAATACTAAATTCAGCTCTGAAAACTTTATTTAGTGAATCTTTAGCTGGTGGCAGCCGAGTGGACAGAAAATAAACTCAACGCAACAACGAGGACAAGGCTATTTCATGATGCTCATAAAATGAATGTGAATGTTTGGGATCCCATGACTCCTTGCGGTTTTAGCATACAGCACCTGCGACCGCTGGAGTCCCTGAGCACTGCTGCTCCCGGGTCGACGGCCCGTGCCTCCAGCTCCTGCACCTCCTCCAGCAGAGACTTCCTCACTGTGCGGCGTGCGCTGCAGAGCAGAAGAAAGCTCATCAAGCCCGTGACGGAAAGTCTGAGTGTTTCACTTTGCAGAAACACGCAGCTCATAATAAAGAGTGCGGTAAGTGTCGACGTTGACTCAATACGGGTTATGTAAACGATTCGGTTAAGTTAAACAGTCTCTGTATGGATTTCAAATGTATTTATATTAAATGTGCTCTACTTACGCCGTCCATGCGAAATCTTTGAGTAAACATGCGGTGGGCACCAGAACCAGACCCAACCAGAAGTACCAGCACTGCATCACCTTGCCAGCCTGTGATGACAACACAGACGTCTGTTTTCACTTGTATATTAATTCAAATAAAGGATTATGTCATTTTTCTCCGCACTGAGCTCATGCTACCAAAGATTCAAAGTGCAGTAAAAGCCGTACAGAGGTTAAGGAGTGAACGTTAGCCGAAGTTGAACACTCCTAAACATATTTTACAGCTTTCTCACAGCCTAAATGACTTCAACACAAAACTCCCACAACTGAAACAGCTTGTCTTATGAAGCTATTTGATAAAATGTAAGTGACTAACCAGAGATCCCCCCCCCCCCTACATGTCTATGCAGTCTAGCTGCAACCTGCCTCCCTGATCTTTGACCCCGCTCTCAGTCTGTCTCCTGAGATTAATCATGCATCCAACCGCTGTCTCAGTCTGTCCATCTCCTTCTGCTCTTTCCCTCTCCCACACATCTTTCCTTTTTAATTCTCTTCAATCTCACTCTTTCACAACCTTCTTTCATCGTTAGTGACTGTTACCTCTGTTGCTTGTCCTCACCTGTTCCTGTTAATCCATTTTATTTTACCATGCAAGAGCTTCATGGATTTTCACATACCTATGTTTTCATGCAAGACAAAAACATTTGGCATTTTCTACTGCGTCACTGCAGGAACAAGAGCTTCATGTGTTTGCGTGCAACAGGATGGAGAAAATCTAAGAATGTAATCAACATGTGATAAAACACACCCAGGTTCACTTTTGCAACGTTGGAGTCCCATGCTGCAGGGATGAATGAGGAATAATTCTCAGCTAAATAATTTAATTTGAGAAGGATTTTGCTGCTTTCCATCTTGCTTCCCCCCATAGGTAGACAGAAGTACAGACAGCAGCAGGAAGTGGAAATAAAAGAGGTAAAACGGTAGTTCAGTGGAATGACGGGGGGGTTGGACGGCAGTGGCTGAGCGTTTTCAACCTTTCCTCACTTAGACTGAGCAGCTGCAGATATTTGACCGCATTCCTGATTTCTGACACAAATTGAATTAATGGGCGGGCGGGGGGAGTTGAGACGACTTGATTCCTTTCTCCTAACCACTCAACAGGGCACCCCATCCCACCCCCTCAGGGTTCATCCCCAAACACTTGCAATTAAGAGGTCCTACAATACTCCCCTCAGCCCCTCATCACTGCCACAAGCAGCCCATCCTCTTGAGTCAACACCTCCACAGAGGGCAGTAAGGATCTGGGGTTCGGGTGACATGCAGCAGGTGCGGGGCGGCCTGCTGAGAGGGGCTCACCCCCCCGATACCAAACTCTCAGGAGGTGAGTCTCACAGACGCCATGTATTTGCAACGAGAACAAAAAGAGGGCGGGCCCTACATCAAGCCCAATCACCACGTTATTGAAATGAATGACGAGTAACGACGCAGAGCTACTTGCCTGGCCCAGCATGTCAGGGGCAATTGGGAAGGTGGGCCAAATGGCGGAGTAGACGGCAAAGAAGAGCATCCAGAGCACCATGCTCCCCCACACGGCCAGGTGAGAAAACTAAGACAGAGACAAAGGGGAAAAAGTTGAGATTATAGAAATGAAGAGCGAAAGAAAAAAGGATAAGAAGTTAAATATTTTACATACAACTCATCCAAATTTAGCCAACCCCCCTCCCTTCTTCCCGCCCTGTGATGTGCTGTAAGGGGACACTGTGTGAATTCCTCTGGGACCTTACTTCATTACTCCCAGACTGTTGTGTGGACAGCTGAACGGACAAAGGTGTCAGCGCCGATCTGTCTATGCTGCCAGTGTCCGTCACTCCGACAGTGGGAATAAACCCAATACAATCACAGTCACAACTTGAGCTGTTGCTTTCCTAAACTCTACATCCACTTCTGCTTGTTGTTGTTTCAGGGCTGAGAGTTAAAACCACATGTTTAGTCAGATGTTTGGTAATTCTTCGATTAGATTACTCCCAGTTAGTTTTCTCCCAAGGTTTCACTCTGGTTTTACTTTTGTTGTTTGTCTTACTCGGGCAAACTTCAAGTGCAAAGTTTTACTTGTGTACACTGCTTTAATTATCTCTTACATTCGACACGAGGAGAACTTATTTGCCTGCTAGTTTAAAACAGACAGACCGGGGCTTAATTTCTGAAGCAAATATAACAATAAGTTTACTTCAATCTCTAATAAGTTGTGACTTTGCGCTATAGAAATAAACTGAATTGATTAACTAACATGGAATATTCACAATGATGTATATTTCTTATTTTCATAAAAAGCACCAAAATAATATGAAGCATCTGGCCATATAGCAAGTCTGCATTTAAATATTCCTTTGCATAAACAAATGTGTTTAAAATTTCAACTATTTCATTTAACCATTTTATTTAAGAAATTAACAATTACCGTAAATTTTGCAGTATAAGTCGCAATTTTTTGCATAACTTTGCATGACTTATTAAGCGAAGCGATGTATTTATGTTTATTTCCCATATTTATAACCCAAGATTTGGTTGAGATCTAACGTTTTCATTCATTCTGACATGGAAAATATTAAACACTACAATTTTCAGCCACTAGAGGGCCCTTGACTGATATGGCAAGCCAAATGTCTAATTAATAGGTAAAAGTGGTTAATAATGAGACACTTGGCTTGCCATAGCGTATGGCGAAGTGATGCATTTATGGTTTTTTCCCCCACTTTATTAGACATATTTTGACTGGTGCGACGTGTACAGCAGTGCGACGTGTACAGCAGTGCGACGTGTACAGCAGTGCGACGTGTACAGCAGTGCGACGTGTACAGCAGTGCGACGTGTACAGCAGTGCGACGTGTACAGCAGCAAGTACGGTACTAGAACCCCCTTTGACTCACAATATGGTACAATTATGGAATAAAGTTGATCAAAAGGACTTTTAGATAGCTAAAATGATTTCAAAACAACTTTTTGAAGTATTAATCTTCATCTCAACAACTTTCCCAGAAAAGCCAAGCAAGTAAACTATTTTCCTGACTTTATGTGACAGAGCTGTGTCTAGTTTTCTATAAAGTTGTCAGTATTTTTCCTATAAATTAAAAAAAAAAGCTTAACGTTTAATCAAAGTAAAAACATGTCTTGAAGTTGTTAAGAGAACAATAAGGTTCTGTAGCACAAAACAACTTCAATTTAGTGCAAACAAAGGTTAATAATGAAAGTACTTTTGGCATCAAAACAAGTGACAAACCTTTTTTCCTCTTTGTTACATTATCATAAAGAAAAACAGCAAAAGTCCTACTTGGTGGTTTTATTAGAAAAATGACTAAACTGAGTGATTAAACTAATTCTATTAATCGTCTGATTTACTATAAATTCACAAAAACCACACAGAGGAGTGTAAAAGATTTGAATGGAACATTTACCGTTAAGAATAACATCTGGGCTCTGGATTAGAGTTCAAATCAATTCGTTTTACTCTGATGTTTCTGTATTTAATATCAATACAACAGATGGAAATGTCCACGTTTTCTGGTCTGTTTTTCTCCTCTTCTCTGCTCCGTCTGAACGACGACCTCCATTTATTCCTTTTAAGATTATTCTCTCCAGGTATATTTGGCAGTTTGTGCAGCTGCTTAAAACGTAAAGTTTCTCCAGTATTTTCTCCCAAACATTTATTTATTTATTTTTTAATATTTGAAATGTTAGAAACACGGGATAAAAGAAAACATGCACAAACTGCAGTTTGAGAAACCTTAGGTATCTACTTGAGAAAAAAAAAGGAGGTAGACCACATCTTTTCCCATTCCTGTCCCAACTATGAAGCCTTCATATCCGTCAAATGAAAACTGTACAGTGAAATTTTCAGAGCGAGCCCCCCTGCTTGTTCTGTTTATTTATTGACACCTGAGTAAAATATGGCACATGTGGCTTGGTTTATTAAAAGCGAGTTAATGCTGTTACCCTGGTCCAAGCGGTGGTCTCCATTCCAGCTTTTAGACACACTGTAACCACCACATACTGCACACAAACAAACAAAACAGAAGAAATAAAACAGAGAAACTGGATTAGTTCGCTGGCAACTGTGGAGATAATAAACATTAATGTTATACAGTAAACTCAGTGATGTCTGTTAAAATATCCCAAACCCCCACAACAAAACTGATAAGCCACAGAGATCCTCATGAGACTGCAGGGAGTAAATTGATAGCAAGAGGGTTAGATAGAGGAGCGAACAGACGAGATGAGTGTGGAGAGGAGACGGGCTGGCTAGACGAGACGAGAATGACCGCAGACTCAAAAAAACAAACGAAGACGCACAAAAACTCTGCAGGTAAGAAAAAAAAAAAGACACTACAGGTAGGAAACTTACCGTGTAGACCATATTTCCTGCAAACAGGTAGTCGTTTCCCTGTCCGTTACTAAAGGGAGAGTCTGAGGGCAACAGAGACAAAGCTTCATTGTTGAAGAATGAACCGTTAAATTAAAAATGAGCAAAACATAAGCTAAAAATCAGCAAAAAGTAGCTAAAAGCTAACATTTACAAAAAGAACTCAAAGCCATATCTAACTGCTAAAATTTGCTAAATTGCAGCTAAAAGCTACATGTCACAAAGTTGTATCAAAAGATAAAATATTCAAAACTGTAGATAAAAGCTTAACAACACAGTAGGTAAAAAGAAAAAGCAGCATAAAAAGCTAAAATAGAGCAAGTAGCTATGATTAGAGGCCGACGGGTATTTGGGCAGTCCATGGCTGATTAAAATCACTGATTTATTTCAGTTCTGGTCAATATAAATTTCTCTTAAAACATTTTATAATCTATTTAAGAGCATTCTTGCTTTAAAAAATGTCTAAATTTTGGGATACAGTAAACTGGTTGTAGCAGCTGCTGCTACAACTGTTAATTTTCCGTTTTAGTACTTAATTACCCATGTACAGGTACGGCCAATTTTTCAAAATGGGCCAATATGGGTTCATTAAAATGCCTCGGTCCATTTCTACCTAGGATAAGATAAATTCAATGAACAATGTTTTTGAAAGAACTAAAGAAAACTCAAGGGTTTCTGTGGAGACTTTTTTGTGCAAATGTAGTTAAAATGTAACACTAGAAGTCACAGCACACAATTCCCATTTGAGGAAAACATTTTAATATACGATTATATTACTAAAAAGTAGGAAGTAGCTTGATTTCAAAAACTGTATAGAAGAAACTATAAACAGGACAACTATGTGAATGATGAATCAAACTTCACACCTTTAATAGAGTCTAAGGAAATAATGAGCTTAAGTCACTTACCATGCTCTAACATTTTTAAAGGAAACCAAAAGAGAATAATTGAATGAATAAGTGCATTGATACAGTGGCCCCAAAACACCTGGAGGATACAGAAAGAGGCAGAGAATTAGGGAGGGGCTGGGAGAGAGGAAACAAGTCAGAGCATTATGTTAAAGCACATAAAAACAAACAAAAAAAACAGCAATTTCCTCAAAGTAACAGACAACATTTCCACAAAAGTGCCCTCCTGTGATGCACACACATTGCCAGCACACACACATTGGCCTAAAATGAAAGACTGTTCCTCTGGGGCTGTTAAATTTATTAAGAGTCGTCATAGAAACATGCCATTCTCATGGTTTGCTCGCTCGAGTCCTATATAAAAACAGCCGGCATCACTCATCAGAACCCAAACAGCCGGGAGCTGAACGCAGAGGACAAAACTGACGGGGATTTCACATGTGTGCGTGTGTACCTTGGTGTTGAAGCCCTCAGCATTCTGGGTTATTCTGTAGAGCTGCGGGAAGCGGAGCATGTTCTGTTGGCTGCATGGCCGGTCAAAAATCCCCAACGTAAATGGAGGCAGCGCAGTAAATATCTGCAGCACAGAAAATATACACATGCAGAGGTTGAAACGGATCACAGAAGAGAGGCACGTATTCTTTGTTTATCTCGTTGTTCTTATCAGATCCTCGGCACTAAAAGGAATTCCATAATGTTTAAAAAACGGGGAGCCTGAAGGCATCAGCAGTCAGACGGAAAGTACACACAGCAGTCGCCAGAACACATACAAGTACTCTCTCACAGAGACATACACGCAGACGTCTCTGGCACGCAGAAAAAGCAGCGATAAGAAGAGAAAGTTGGGGAGATTCATGCAGTGAAAGGAAGAAAGTAAAAGGAGGGACCTGCTCGAGCTAACTAAACACAAACAAGAGGGGCTGAGAAAAGAAAAATAGAAGTGTGGTAATTATGAGTACTCACCACATTGTACAGGCCTATACACCAGCGCTCAAACAGGATCTGACCAGAGAAACCGTTCACAAAGGCGAACCAAAGCTAGGACACAAAACGAGAAGGATGAGAGGAACAATAACGATAAAACTGATTTAAAAATGCACAGTAGGAAGGCATAAATACATGTGAATCTTGATTAAAATGTAAACAATCTGAAGTTAAATTGAACTCAAAATCTTACTTCTAGCATACAAAGCTCTCAACAACCTAGCTCCATACTATAGTCGAGATCTTGTTCCATACTTTCCCAACAGTCTCTCTCAGACTGCAGGCTTACTCGCAGTTCCTAGAGTTTCCACAAGCAGAATGGGAGGAAGATCTTTCAATTATCAGGACCCTCTTGTGGAACCAACTTCCAGTTTCGGTCCATGAAGCTGACACATTGTCCAGTTTTAAGACTGGGCTGAAGACTTTCCTTTTTGACAAATCCTATAGTTAGGGTTGGCTTGTTGTGCTGCTATAGGCTTAGACTACTAGAGGACAAATTGACCTCATTTCCTTAAATGATTTGCTAAAATTGAATAGTTTTCATTTGATACCACAGTAGTCCCTGGCTACTTGGCGGTTCGTTTATCGCGGGCTCGCTCTATCGCGGTTTTTCAAAATAAGATGGAACATGACACACAACTGGCTGATTGATGGATGAGTCGCACGAGCAACATAGAATTTTTATTTAAAATAAATTATGTTGAATTATTTAACACCTGCTGCACAGAACTGAAGGATAAACTTCCTGAAAACACATCTGTTCTCTCAGACATTTCATACAGTGTAAATTGTTCTAGTTTTTTAATCTGTGACCTTATGTTTTAAATGCTTTTTATTAATTCTTTAGTTATTATCATTATTAGTGTATTGTATATATGTTTATATATTTTTCTCTTTAATTTACTCATTGATTGTTGTTGTTGTTGTTAAGCACTTTGATAACAGGCTCTGTTTTAAATGTGCTCTATAAATAAAGTTGACTTGACTTGACTTCCTGCTGCAGCTGATCAGCTGTTCACCATGCAGAGCGGAGAAGTGGGCGTGGCCTAGAGCACTCGCAGGTGGCAAAGAGCAGAGGAGGCAGGGAGCTGAAATCATGACATTCTGTGCTTTTTTAGAACGTTTAGAAACATTGTTTAGGATATTGCAAGAGTGAGGGAAGAGTTTAAAACGCCTTAACACAAATATATAATACATATGTGTGTATATATATATATATATATATATATATATATATATAATAAAAATAAAACTACTACTTGTACTACTATTCCTACTTAGCGGTTTTTCACTTATCGCGGGTCTTCAGGATACGGACCCCCCACGATAAACGAGGGACTACTGTATTTCTATCTTAACGTGATTCTGGACCTGCCATTGTGTATCTGTTCCTCTCAAACCCAGCCGATTGAAGAAGATGGCCGCTTGTCCTGAGCCTGGTTCTGCTAAAGGTTTCTACCTCATGAGGGAGTTTTTCCTTTCCACTGTCGCCTTCATGCTTGTTCAAGATGAGAGATTTGTAATGAAGTTAAATTCAAAGCAGTCTGCTCCTCCGATAACTAACGTTAATTTATTGTTTTTTATATATGAATCTTTCTGTTCAATGCCCTGAGACGTCTTCTGTTGTGACTTGGTGCTATATAAATAAACTGAATTGAATTTGAATTAAATTAACTAACAGGCAGGAAGTCTTAAAAGCATTCTTCATTTAGGTTTTGGCTTCCTAAGAAACCACTTTCTGACTCTACAGATCTACTCACTGACACAAACTGTGCGGAATCATGAATCATGCCTCCACTTTATATATATTTTGCTTAAAAGAGCCCAAATTTTACTTGTAATAACTTAAAGCAGACCTGATCAGTGGTTCTCCCGCTTCTCTTAAGCTCTTTTAAAATATTTATTTTTACTTCAGCTGCTTTTCACTCATTTTCAGTCCAGTACCTGACCATTTTCAGAGGAATGTTTTCATTTAGGCCACCTACCCCTGACCCATGAGTCACTCAGGCATGAAAAGGCTCTTAAGCTCAAGTGATGAATCAGTGTTGTATCGACACAGACAACATAACAAAGAGCCAGTTTGTGACTGAATCTTTGGGCACCTTGTTACAAACATCCTGTCAAAAATTGACAATATGTTAAAATGTTTTAGTAGAATAAATCTATGACTGAAGTTTAACAGATAAAATGGTATGTTAACACAAAAAAGGTGACTCTGAAAGTTGAAAACCTAATAAATGACGTTATCCTCTGTCAAATCTGTGCTGAACTTTCTTCTATTTCCGAAATACATAAAATTCAGAGAATTTCTCTGCTGACGAGTTTTTAGGCTCAGTGATTCTTTTTTGTCCACATTTTTTATTGCACAATATGCGGTAAAGTAGAATAACAGAAATTGAGAGACAAAGCAACCAAAGTCTAAGGGGAAAAAAAAAACTGCAAGTCCTCAAAAAAATCTAGAGAACTACTGATTGAGAATATTTAAAACTATGCAAATGAATCCTGGCTCCTTAAAAATAAAATAAACAGTAGGGATAGTTTTAAACTTTTGCACCTAATCTGACGCTGGTCTAGGCTGGACGTTTATCAAGATCTTGATGTGCGGTCACAGAGCAGACTCAAGCTGATCTGAGGTCAGAGTAAATGTTTAGGGCTGCTGCTGCTGCTGCTGGGCGTTGTGGCATTACTGGGACATACGGAGTAATCGGGCTGGGTAGCTTGAACACAAACCCATCCCCCTTTCTTCTGCATCCATGGAGTGAACAGAAATTGTCTTTAACCTTTGGCCCAGACTGCCCCGCTGGAAGCCAATTATGTGAGGTAATCATAGAAACGTATATATTTACAGACACAGAACAGCGGTCAGAGTGGGACGTAGGCTCCCACGAGGACCTGCACCTGCCGGCATCCTTTACATCAGACAGCGGAGTGAGACAGCTGACAAATGCCTCACATATCATGCTGCCTCTTCATCTCACCCTCTCACAAACAGCAGTCACACTTCCATCAATTCTTAAGACAACGCACTAACAACAACTTCCTTGGGATTTACTCTGATCATAACTTCGTAATCTCAACAAACCTTCCTCCTCAAACGCATACATTTGCTGATGATTTGAATACATTTATCCTGATGCATGCTCAATAATCCAGGTAGAAAAATCTAAAATTTGAATACATTATTTTCTCCCTTAAAGGCAGAATGAGAACATGAAATAAATATGTAATTAATGCGCACAGCAGCTGACCTTCAGGGTCAACGTCTCGTAGCTGCTGAACTAAACACGTGTGTGTGTGTATATATA